CGACCACCGGTAGCGGAAGCGCTGCGTGTCCGCCCACGAGCACACCTCCGCGAGCTCGCCGTTGGCCGACGACGGGAGGAGAGCCTTCACCCCCTCCAACGCCTCCTTGGTCAGGAAACCCTGCATTGATAAACATCAGCTGAGTTGATCTACGGTCGGCGCCGGTGAAAACAGATGGAATCGATCACTAGTGCTGGGCAGACGACGGATCGGTGGTTTACGTACGTCGGCGATCTTGCAGGTCATGTAGTGCCCCTCCTTGCCCCACGCCTGCGCCGCTGGGACTCCTGCCGCCGCCGCGACCAGGACGACGTGAAGCAGCAGCAGCAAGCCCATCCTACCTTAGCTCTCTCCTTCTCCGTGTCTTGTTGTTGTGCTGCTTTCCGTCTTGTCTCATGTCTACCTTGTGTACTGCTCCCCTATATTTATACAAACAGCCACCGGCCAACCCATGGCCGCGTTCTGCTTTTTGTCTGAACCGGTAGCATTTATTTATTGACATTAGCAGGAAAATACTCTATATATGGTGTTAAGCTATTTATTTATTGATATTAAAGTGGAACTAAAGCTTCTTATGTGTATATATATAGTTTGTATGACGCGTCCGGTGTGAAGATCTTACGTATTGAATTCATGCACCAGCCAACTCATCAAAAAATCCAAACTGATGGAGGGCAATATATTTCAACACTCCCCCTTATGTCTAGGCTATTTTAGTCTAACTATTTTAGTCCTTAGACGCGGGCTGGATGTAGGCCGCAGATGCGTTGACAGGGTCTTGAACTCAAGACCTCTTGGCTCGGATACCATATTGAATTCATGCACCAATCAACTCATTCAAAAATCCAAACTGATGAAGAAAGGTGGGCAATATATTTCAACATTACGAACATAGATAATGGATGTGTTTGCTTGCATAGCAGGAACTTTAAAGCACCTCTCAGCCATGCCCGTTAGGAACGGCCGATTCAGCCATTTCCCCTCAGGCAGGCTTGGACGATGCATGGGAAACCACAGAGATGGCGCAAACTCGCGCGTCTCTCCAACTCTGGATGCAAGGCTGGGTTAATGCCACGTTTTTTTCTTCCAAATTTGCTTGAAAAGCAAACCAATCTATCCAACTGGTTCTAATGAACACATCACTTTGATGAAACAAAATAGTTACAATCACAAGAAGGTTAGATCACTAGTATTATCCCACTGAGGAAATGAAGATGATACAATGGTGTCAATAAATACAACACCACATACATACATACATACATACATACATACAAATACAATGATTTGCCACCACAGCGAGTCTAAGCC